GAATTACCACTGGATTAAAACCAGTTATATTTTTCTAATTTGCAAGAAGGTAGATTAATTACAATGAATATAATTTTTTCTGTGTTTTCCCACATACATTTTTCTGAAGACTTTAGTATGTGTCAGTAGTGTGAGAGAATCCTAGAATTAGCATAGAATCATAGCTTTGTTTACCATTTAAAGTTTAATGCATCAATAGTTCATGGTGTTTTACAAAGAACTGTAGCTTCTGGTTCCCCCTAAAAGAATTGGGGAGGCAGAAAGAGGAGAGGGGATCCCCATTAGAAAGAAGGCTGCCGACACAGTTCAAACAAGAGCCGATGGCCTGAACCAAAAGTGATGACTATCAGGATGGATTGGGCCTGAGTTCAGCCCCAAGGAGAGAGGCCTGCTGGTGATTTCCAGGCTTCCTGGCTGGGCTGTCCATAATTCAGAGGAACTCATTTGGTTCCTGAAGATAATGTCAACAGCTCAAAGTCACCTAGGGAGCATTACCACAACATCAACCTGTGTGAAAGCAGATGAGTGAGACTGGGTAGTGTGTGTGTGTGTGTGTGTGTGTGTGTGTGAGAGAGAGAGAGAGAGAGAGAGAGAGAGAGAGAGAGAGAGACAGAGAGAGAGAGAGACAGAGAGACAGAGAGAGATAGAACGTGCTGTGTAGGACCAAGTGTTTCCCCCATGATGAGACACCAACTTTCTCTATAATAAAAGAAAGTACAGCCCTGACCCGTTTGGCTCAGTGGATGGAGTGTCGGCTTGTGGACTGAGGGTCCCAGGTTCAATTCCGGTCAAGGGCATGTACCTCGGTTGAGGGCACATCCCCAGTGGGGGTTGTGCAAGAGGCAGCTAATCCATGTTTCTCTCTGATCGATGTTTCTAACTCTCTATCCCTCTCCCTTTCTCTCTGTAAAAAAAATCAATAATATATATATTTTTTAAAGTACAATCATTTTGTGAACACGACCTATGAGCCAGACCCTAGTCTGTGTGTTTTACATGTGATATTTATCATTTAATCTTCACAAGAACCCCCCAATAACATTCATCAAATGCTTTCATGTGCCAAGCATTCTTGTACTAAGTGCCTCAAGTGAAGTGAATAATATCTCACTTGATCCTCACAACAGCCTTGACACAGACTCTATTATTTCCTTCTTTTTAAGGATAGGGAAATGGAGACACGGGGAGGCCAGGTGAGTTGTCCAAAATCACTTTGAAGTGGTTTTAGAAAGTGGCCGAGCCAGGACTCAAGTCCAGATTTGCCAGAATCCAGCACCTACACCCATCATCACAGCACTTAGCTTTCCTCTCTTCCTTGGAGGAAAAACTCTGAGTTAAAAAGCTTTGGGTCAATAAAACCCAGAGAAATGAACTCTTCCTTATCTTTCACAGACCTGCCTCAGTGTTTCTCAAAACCTGTTTCCTGGACCACCTGCATCCAGATATTCTTTTTTTTTTTTTTAATATATTTTATTAATTTTTACAGAGAGGAAGGGAGAGGAAGAGAGAGTCAGAAACAGATGAGAGAGAAACATCAATCAACCTCCTCCAGCACACCCCCCCACAGGGGATGTGCCCGCAACCAAGTACATGCCCTTTGACCAGAATCGAACCCGGGACCCTTCAGTCCCCAGGCCGACGCTTTATCCACTGAGCCAAACTGGCCAGGGCTGCACCCTAATAATCTTAAGAGCTTGTAAGAAATGTACATTCCTGGACCCCTCCCCAAGATTCTAATTCAGTGGGTCTAAAATGAAACCTCAGATGGTTGTGATGCATATTGAAGATTTGGAGTCACAGGATTGGCTTCCTCAGCACCTTCTCCAAGATGCCCCCACCCTACCCCTATCCAAAACATGTCTCTTTGACTCCCACCTGTGCCTCTCTCATGTTCTTAACATTCAACTGGGTTTTAGGTATGCTTATGTCTCCACTCTGCCAGAAACGTGAAAAATAGGATCCAGTGTCTTTATTGGGCTACATCTTTTTACAAAGAACTTAGATTGTCCCGCTTAATTCCTTTCTACACTGAGCTTTTTTAGAGGGGAGGCCCTCCTGCTTGGGATCCCTCCCTTATACCTGAACACACTCAGCATTTTACAGGGTGCTCTCCTGTCCATATAACAGTATTCTGTTGTTTCACCCAAGCCTCAAACAATCTTTTGTAAAATACTTTTATTATTTTTTTAAATATATATTTTATTGATTCTTCATAGAGAGGAATTGAGAGGGACAGAGAGTTAGAAACATCAATGAGAGAGAAACCTCGATCAGCTGCCTCCTGCACACCTCCCACCAGGGATGTGCCCACAACCAAGGTACGTGCCCCTGACGGGAATTGAACCTGGGACCTTTCAGTCCGCAGGCTGACACTCTGCCCACTGAGCCAAACCAGTTTCGGCCTTTTGTTGATTTTTAGAGAGAGAATGAGAGGGAGACAGAGAGAAACATCTATGTGAGAGCAAAACATTGATCAGCTGCCTCCTGCATTGCCAGAATCAAGCCCTGCCACCCAGACATGTGCCCTGATAGGGAATCAAACCAGAAACCTTTTGGTGCGCAGGAGGATGCCTAACTAACTGAGCCACAATGGCCAGGGCCCTCACAGCAATCTTAAAGGAGGAGTATTCTCCCCCTTGTACCTATGAGGAAAGTCTCCAAGTTTCAGGCACTTGCTTAAGGTAGGAAGAGGCAAGGCTGGGATTTGAACCTAAATCTTCTAACTCCAAACCCAGTATTCTTGCCTCCACAGCAGCTTACATGTACTCTGCTTAAGGGAAGTAAGTTTTGCCTTCCTATGCTATTAGGAGATAGTGGGAATTTGAGATAATGCCTTAAATGGCCTGGCACAATAGCAAATGGTGGGGCCCAGCCCACATGGCTCAGTGATAGAGCATGGACCTATGAACCAGGAGGTCAGGTTCCATTCCCAGTCAGGGCATATGCCCACAGTTACCGGCTGGCTCCCCAGTGTGAGGCATGAAAGAGGCAGTCGATCAATGATTCATTCTCTCTCATCATTGATGTTTCTAGCTCTCCCTCTTCTTTCCTCTCTGAAATCAATAAAAATGTTTTTAAATGAATGAATGAATGAATGAGTAAATACATAAATGAATAATGAATGAATGAATGAATGAATGAATGAATGGTGGGGAAAAGGAAAAACTGAGGTCAGAGGAGGGGAAATGCCTTCCCCAAAATCAAACAACAGATTGCAGACTGCAGACATAGCTTTAGGCCAGTCTCGGACGCTCCTTGGGAGATCAACGTTGGCAGGCTCCAAATCCCCGCGATTCCCGCTTTTCCCCCCACTGCGCGTCTCTGGCTCCCCCCCCGCAATCCCTCTAGGCGCCACCGAGCAGCGAAAAGAAGAGCTGGTCCTTTAAAAGGAGCGAGGGGCGTGGTTACGAGACTGGAGGGGCGTGGTTACGAGGCGGAAGAGTCGTGGTTACCAGGCGGGGCGGGGCGGGGCCGGGGCGGCGCGCAGTCGCGGGAAGTTGACGTCTCCGGGGTGCCGGGCTGTGAGATCCTGGGGAGAACATGTGGGTCTGCGCGCTGTGGGAGGCGCGGGCCCCGGCCCTGCTGCGGCGGCGGCGGCTGCTCCCGGCCCGGGGCCTCCGCCCGCCTGCCGCCGCCTCCTTCTCCGCGTCCGCCGAGGGCTCCCGGGTCCGGGCGCTGGTCTATGGCCACCACGGGCACCCGACCAAGGTCGTCGAGTAAGAGACCGCGCCGCAACGGGGCTTCTTGCAGGGCTTTCAGACGGGCTGTGGGGAAGGGAGACGGGGCAGGGAGAGACTGGGTCCGAGGAAGAAGGTGGAGAATAATAGGACGGAGACTGAAGCCCAGGGTATGTTTGGTAGCTCAGGAAGTCCATGATTCGAAGAAGTTGAAGATCCGAGAGGCACAAGTGTAACTGTCATAGTTTAGGACTATATGTTTATTGGAGGACTGTATGTGTGGGGCAATCCCTCTAGGTAGGAACTTGATTTACCCCCACTTTTCAGATGAGAACACTGAGGCATCAGAGAGATGAAATCACTTGCTCAGTCACACATCATCCAAAAGGCGGCAGAGTTGACATTGGAATCCTTTCTGACTGACGGATCCGCCCAAGTTCTTACCTTCCCTTACTTTTTGGAGGCGGTGTTCAGAATACTTTCACACCTATTTGGATCTTCATTTCTCGGTCAAGTAGGTCAGAGATCAGTGTTTCCATTTTACAAAGGACAAGGGACCAGAGTGCCCAAAGGACAGGTTGGAACAGGGGCAGGAATCCATGGCTTCTGCCACCTGGTCTCCTGTGATTTCCTGTCCACTGTGCTATGTGCCTTTAGTTACAAAGGGCTCCTATTTTGGAGCCAATCCAAGGCCTGTTTGGCCTTAGGCAAGTCACTCTGCCCTGCTGAGCCCTCATTGCCTTTATAATTATGTCCTCCTAAAATTCTGTTAGATCTTAATGATTTTTGCATGTGACTTATAAAAACAGTGTATGAATGTTCAACCATTATAAGTGGCCCATAAGTAACTAGAGGTATACCTCGTTTTTTGGTGCTTCGCTTTATTGCGCTTTGCGTTTTGGGAATTAGGCAAGATCCTATTACCAGCAATAAGGTTATGACTCGCTTCATTGCTATACTATTGTACTTTTGTTGCATGATCTGGAATGGAACCTAAAATATCTTCTGTTTGGCTATCCAAAAGGGCTAAATGGGGTCACGGTAGTGGGGCTAACAGTGAAAGCATTGATCTGTAAAACGTGTTTGGCAAGTTACTGAGGTTCTCTGAGCCTTAGTTTCATCCTCTTTAAAAATGAAGACAATACAATCATAGCTCATAGCGCCAATCAGCTGAGCTCAATCAATCTAACACTTTCCACCAAAAAGCACCTACATCCTCTCCTGCAGTCCCTTGTTTACAACTCTGATTATCAGCAAATGGCTTGCCTGTTTGCCAGAGGATAGGCAAACGGAATTATTTTCATGATTAAAATACAGACTAGAGTGCTCACTTCAGCAGCACATGCACTACACCTGGAATAGTACAGAGAAGATTAGCATGGTCTCTGCACCAGGATGGCACACACATTCATGAAGCATCCCACATTTTTACTTAAAAAAAAAAAAAACCCGAGAGATGTTTTGACAGCCCAAGGGGATAAGCCTCAGAGAATTTCAAGGTCATTCCCTCAGCCTTGCCACATCCACCATTAGAATATTGAGACCAAAAGAATTTTGAAAGGACTCATCAGTCAATAAACACCAAACTGTATGTCCCTCATGAGTAATAAGTCACCAATAAACCCCAAATTGTACGTTGATCATGAGTAATATATTTCCATGAGGACTGTGCTGTAATGAGCTGGTAAAACTCTGGCGAACACTCCTTTTCCAGGATTGCACCCCAAATAGGAACAATGCTGTGCCTCTCTTGCAGGCTTGTGATTTATGGGTCTGGTATAGGGCCCGCCACAAAACAGGTGCTCCAGACACGTTGTTAAGTCTGTATCTGATTTCAGTGAGAAGTGCACCTTTTATTGAGTTCTGAGGCGATGAAGAAGGCATCTCCAATGCTCAGGGACCTGCGGAAAGGCCCTGAAGGTTAGGCAGCTGAGTGCGGTTGTCTCCTGGTTGATCACCTCTGTTCCAGGGAAGCTGGAACAGACTTGTTGCTGATGCCACTGAGGGAAAAGGGATCGCTGTCTTGTCTCCTTGTATGGAACCCTAGTAATTTCCCAGAAGTTCAAAGCATGATACTTACGTAAAGCATTGCATTGGGCCTTGGCTTCCCATCTCAGTCACCTATGACACTTTTACATATCCCCACGCGTGACCCCTGAAGTACTTAGGAAGTCCAGGGAGGCCCTGGAATCTGTTTTCCCAGCTCTCAGTGGCTCTGATGTGCAGGCCTGGGCTGAGAACCTTTGTCCTGTGGACGTGGACTGGCAGGCAGGCGGGCGGTTCTCACTCTGCCTGAGAATGGCAGCTTTGCTTTCTGACCCAGATTCAGGCAATTTGACGTGTTCCTGTATGGCCTGGAGCCAGAGACTGGGATTCTCTTCTTTGTAGTCATGTCTTGGGAGGTTTAAGGTAACTGCGGTGTCACAGAAAGAATCAGGTGTCCTTTAAATACCCTAGTAACTGAGTATGTGGGTCAGGTTACACCAGGAAGGGTCATGGAAGTACTCGGAGTCCAAGCAGACTATTTCCCAAACTCGCGTGGTTTGTGATGTTTGCTCTGTGGGCCGGGCTCTGGGAGCAGCAGGGAGGGAATGAGGAACAGTCTGCTCGGGTCCGAGGCGTGGTGGGACTTCTCAAAACGGGCCTCCAGGGAGCTCCTGTTCTCATTTCACCATTCTGAATGTCCTTCTCTTCCATCCTGGTGGCCCCCAAACTAAGCTCTTCCCTCCTCCACTAAGCCTTTCTCTGACATTTTATAGTTTCTTCTTTTTTCCCAAAAAAATATTCTTTCCTATATTCTTGGGCCTTTTTCATTTAAAGAATTGAACAGCTGATCTAAATGAAGTAAGAATGTGCAAGAGAGCCCAGCAGGGAGGCTCGGTTGGTTGGAGTGTTGTCCCATTCACCAAAAAGGTAACAGTACGATTCCAGGTCCGGGTACATACCTAGGTTGCAGGTTTGATCCCAGGTTGGGGTACACATAGGAGGCAACCAGTTAATGTTTCTGTCTGCCCTCTCTCCCTCTCTCTAATACCAATTAAAAATATATATCCTCAGGTGAGGATTTTTGAAAAGGTGCAGGAGAAAATTACAACATAAGGGAGTAGCAAACATTCTAGACATTTCAGAGGTCCCCAGGCAGTTACCCCTCGTGAAGAGTTCCGGATTCTCTATCACAATGATTTTCAACTGGTGTGCTGCAAAATGTTTTAAAACATGCAAAACCTGACTATTTAGTCAGGGGCACTGACCTCTTCTCCCTTAGATTATCAAATTAAAAAGAAAAAAAAATGACAATCACCAACACAACTAATAGCTGTCTGGTGTGAATAAATCAAAATTGTACCTATATTTTTGGTCAAATTGGCAAAAAATAATTTTTTTGTGTGCTGCAGAATTTTAGTAATTGGTTTACATGTGCTGTGAGATGATAAAGGTTGACAATTGCTGCCCTATCAGATAGTTCCCACGTACTCCGTTCCTTTTGTTCCTGAAAGTCCCCTTTCCGAATTTTGCATCCTCTTACGATAGAAGCTGCTCTCATTCATTCTATACCTACTATGTGGCAGGCATTGAGCTAAGCTCTCCAGATATATGATGGAATTTTAAACTCAATTGGGGTTTGGTCATTGTTATCCCCATTTTACAGACAAGATAACTGAGACTCAAGAAACTGGAAAGACACTTGTCTAAGATCAGACCACTAGGATGTGGCTTTATTAATAGTCCTCGATATAGACATAGACCTGGAGAAGCAATGATGATCATCCCAAGCAAATAACATTGGGAATAAGACAGGTCAGAAGAGAAGAGGAGATTGCAGGTCATTCAGGTGACCCCAAGTCTACCCTTCATGAGATCGGCAGCCCTTGTCGGAGGTTCCGGTGGCTCCCTGGCCTCAGACCCCGGCGTCCCATGCTCATTCCAGCCAAGTCCGTGCTTCTCTGACACTCTTGGTCCCATTAGGACATTTCGGTGTAGAAGACACTGCGATGTGAATGCCCAAGAGAAAAGCCATCAAATGTGCGCCGGCCAGAGGACCAGTGGTACCACTTTTTAAAATAAACTGTCCTGCCCTTCAAAAAAAGTAAATAAGTAAGATCGGCAGCCCCACCCTGGGGAAGACAATAAGAATGTCCTCTGTCTCCTCCATTTTCCTGATCCTGGTCGTCACAGCTTTCTCACCTGCCTGCTGCTGGCATACAATGCGAAACCCTTGGACACGTACCCAGTCTGTTAACCAGATGGAATTTGGGGAGCAGGTGGTGGGCAGCCAGGCTGTGTAGGTAGTGAGTTCTCACTGTAGGGCACGGTTTGCTCTCAGGGGATCTCTTCTTTTTGCAGTTGATGTTAGCGTTGAAAACCCAAACTATGCTGGTGACTTGGTTTTTTAAAACAGAATTCTAGTACTTTGAAAGATATTTAGCATTTTGGTTTGGCACTCTGTCGAAAACTGGGATTTTGTTTGTTTTTGTCTTGTCTCCTGGAGCTCTTTATTGTGGTCATGTATGAAGGAGGGGGGAACAAAACTCATTATATTATTTATTCTTTAAAAAAATCACAAGTGAGTTCTGGGCACTGAGAATCATCTATGGTCTTTGTCCTCGGGGAACTCACATTCTAGTCCAGGAGGAAAAGTGTAGGAATGTTTCTGCATGTGGTGTGTCTGATCAACAGATACTTAGGAAATGCCTGCGTGTAGTCCTTTGAGGGAGGTACCTGCTGAAACAGGCTCCGAGGGCGCTAGCCTGAGCTCACGGGATTCTAACTCAAGCAGATTCCACGCGAACATTACCTTCCCTCTGGACTTCCCACTAGGCTGTGGGGTTTAGGGCCAAGCCCGTTTAACCCCAGTTCCCCATTCTTCCATCTGAGGTGAAACTTGGCAGGCGCAGCCCGGAGGAGCTGCACGAAGGAGGGGTTTCAGTGTCTGGGAGAAGAGCTGCCACCCAGTGCAACCCCCCCCCACCTTACTGTGATCGCCTGGCCCTCTCCTAGCAGCTCCTGCCACTCTCTGATACAGTTCCAGGCCTTTCCCACCCTGAAGTGTGGGGTGGGGGTAGGGGTCCTCATTTTAGAGAAGGAAAAGCAAAGCTGACACCAGGTTAGTCAGGATGTCACTGGGGCCTGGCCAGGGTTTTAGTCCCAATTGCGCCACTCATTACAGTGAGGAAATCACTCCAGTCTCCTTTTTATAAAGGAGTCAACCAAGGTCGGCAATGGTAAATACAAGCGCTCATGCTGTCCCCACACTCCTATCTTCTAATATGCTGATGATAAACCTTCACAGCTTCCACTTCTATCTACCTCAAACCTGCATGCCTCTTTACTCCCATCCTCTCCTGCCAAGACGAGATGAGACCTCAGCTTTCTTTTCAACCCAGTTCTGCAGCCATGGGGGTTGTTAAGAGGCATGAATCCTCTTTGATCCAATAGTTGTCCAGGTCCAATATGTCTATGAAACTGAAGCAAGCGTGGGACTGCCCACTTGCCAGTGGTTGCCCTAGCAACCTCCAGGGAGCAGTGCTGTGGCTAGAAATCCGGGTCTTGGGCACAAGATTTCATCAAGAGCTCCCTTTGCCCTTGGTTCGGTACATACTCAGCAGCCTGCAGCGGGGCCTGCATGGTACCTGTCAGAGACGAAAGGAGCTGCCAGCAGCGACTCTGCCTCCTGCTGTGGTTCAGGCTTGCTCTCTGGAGCCACAAGGAGAGTTAGGCCTCGGCAAACTAAGCAACAGAGACTCTGCAGCTCCCTTCAAGCAAGTGTCCTGATGTCAGCAGACGTAGAACATTTACGGGGCTTGCAAGCTTTGTGATCATCTTAATTAAGGGAGCGTAGGGGATTGAGAAAGAAGGGTGACATTTTCTTTGCCAACCTCGGGTAGAAACTTCCAGAAGTTGCCCTCAGTCTCTGATTCCCTTCCGTTCAAAATGATTGTGCAGAAAGTCCTGGATGGTAGGAGGGCAAGATTGCTTTGAGTCAGGGAAGCCAGCAGAGGCACAGAGAGGCAAACAGGAACAAGGAGCTCTGCTCAGGGACAGCAGCTCCCTGAGGACTCCTTGAGAGGGCCCCCACCTCCAATCCAGGCCGCCAGCATCCCCCACTGGGGGTGAGCTGTTACAAGCTGTGAGCTGAAAAACCTCATTCCTCCGCGATGTCCCAGTTGTGCTTTGCTTATTGATTATTAATCAGATCTCAGAACAACGTATCCAGCACTCAGGCATTTCACCAAGTCCCAGAAGAAGGCTTGTTTGTGACCGCGGAGGCTGCAGGCAGATTGGGGAGAGCCACGGGAGGTGTCCGTTACCTACACCCAGCGTGGCCCTGCGGTGGGACACACATTCTTGGCTCTGAGTAGTGAACAGATGACAAAGTCTCAGTGTTCAATGGCTGTCTCCCTGCCTGTTCTTTCTGCTCAGAATCATACTG